TTGAGAGCTACTAATCTTGGGCTACTTTCCAAAACCTAACTAGGGCTGAAGAGGTTTTTTGAAGCCTCCAATTTAGGAAACTACTTATTTTTGTATCAGGACCCCTCCTTTCTAGGGGGTTTCACATAACCAATGTTTCAAAAAGCGCTAGGCGACACCTAGGCGGTCGGGGGGGTCCAAGCCGCTCAGCACCTAGACGGGCGCCCAGAACCAGGGTGGCTCAGTAAAAAAAAAAATATTTTGGTTTTTCTCTCTCTAAAATAGCCTCTAATAGGTTTTAGGTTCATTTGAAACCTAAAACCCATAATTTTACACCTTTAGTATTAAAAAAAAGACCCAAAATGACCCAAAAATGGCCTCAATGAGCGGCATTTCTACCCCTGGAAGGGGCTCAGGCTCTGAGCAGCTGCCCAGGCAGCCGCTTAGGCGGGTTCAGGCAGCCGCCTAGGAGGGTTCCAGGGCGCCTAGGCGAGTTCAGGCAGGCGCCTAGGCGAGTTCAGGCAGCCGCCTAGGCGGGTTCCCGGGCGCCTAGGCGGGTTCCTGGGCGCCTAGGCGGGTGCCTGAGGATACCGCCTAATTTGGCCGCCTAGGCCTGGGCGATGTGCCTAGGCCTTCTGAACTGCCTTGGCGGCCGCCCAGGCGCTCGGCGGTCCGCGTTTTGAAACACTGCACGTAACATAAAGATTGCATGTAAAATGGACAACTGGAGAGAAAGGATATCTTGTTTGAAAATGGGGCTCATCCTTGCCAATAATAGTTTCTCTCCTCCACTATAAAGCTCTTCTGCTCTTACAACATGGCTCGCACTCTCACACAACACATCAGACTTGCTCATTGTGCTTCTATATACTGCCCTCGCTGCTAAATGTGGTGCAATATAACTCATCCAGTAACCAAGCACCCTAGAGTCAATCAAGACCCCAAGGAACCAATTGACGTGATGCAACAGTCTACATGAACAAATTTTAACTTTCCTAGATAAATTAGTAAAAATTAGTGTTTAAAAAAGCGCTAGGCCTAGGCGACCGGGGGGGTCCAGGCCGCCCAACGCCTAGGCGGGCACCCAAAACCTGGGCGGCCCAGTAAAAAGAAAAATGTTTGTAAGAATCTAAGTCAAATAGTATAACTATATAACACATAATCCATATTTCCATGAATGAGGAGCATTTAGAACATCCATAATCCATATTTTCATACAATGCTAGAACCATACAAGCACACACAAAAGAATTAGATAGTAGAAACTAGAAAATAAAAAAAAATATACAAAAAATATACAGTCTAAGACTCAATAGTCAACACCAAGAGTCAAGTGTCTTCATTCTTCAATCATTATCATCATCATCATCAGAAGCAGTAGGGTAAGCCTCATCATATGCATCAGATTCGAGGCCATCATCATCAGAGTCATCTCTTTCTTTAACATAACGCTCGTCCTCCTCTGGTTTTCCTGAATCTGCCTATCCCTCATCTTACTCTATGCAAATGAGGCCCTAGGAATCTTGCTTGCTCTACCTGGTGCCTCTTCACCCTTTTCTTTCTTTTTGTGCTTTCCTGAACTCAAATATTGTATAATCTCTTCCCTGATAGTCTCAGGAACATTTTTACATGGGGCAACATCCCCCTTAATAGGCAAGGTATTTCTTGAACCGGTAAATACCCCCATTAGTATCCTTTCCATAATAATTACACCTAATACAATTTTGGTCATTTGGATTTAGGTTATGGCCATACTTCCAACCGGGATCACCATTTTTAGAAGAACCTGGAGAAGATATTTCCATAGAACAAGGCTCATTTTCTTCCTTTTCTAGTTCTACTAAATTCAAATATTGTCTAATCTCATCCCGAATAGGTTAAATAACGTTTTTACAAGAAGCAACATTCCCTTTAATACCAACAAGGTCTTTCTTGAATCGATTAATACCCTCATTGGTATCCTTTTCACAAAAATTACAACCTTACACAACTTTTATTATTTAGTTTCGGGTTATAACCATACTTCTAACCCGGATCACCTCTTCTAGCAAAACAAGAAATAGAACTATCCAAATGATAAGGAATTTGCTCCTGTTTGTGTTTGACTGAATTTATATATTGGTTAATCTCCTCTTTGATAGCGTCAGAAATATTTTTCCAAGGTGCAACATTCCCCCTAATAACGGCAAGATGTTCTTAAATCGGTTTATGCCCCTTTTGTATTCTTTCTACATTAATTGCATCTTATGCAATTTTTATCCAAAGGATTCGGGTTATATCCATATTTCCAATCCAGATCACCACTTTGACTAGATCCTGAAGAAGACATCTCAAAATAATGGGTGATGTTTGGATCCATTTCTCGTAACTTTGAGAAACACTTTGATCCACTAAAAATCACAAAATCGTTTTTTTTTTTTGAGGTTTCTCTTTATCTAAAATGGGGTCTAGTGGTTTTAGGTTTAAATGAACCTAAAACACACCTTTAAAAACATTTTTTTCCAAAAAACCCACTCAACAAAAGGCATTTCCACCCCTAGGTGAGGCACAGGCCCTGGGCACCCAGGGATCTCCTGCCCGATTTGGCCGCCTAGGCCTGCGCGATGCGCCCAGGCCTTCTGGACCACCTAGGCAGCCGCTCATGCACTAGGCGGTCCACTTTTTAAATCACTGGTAAAAATTTTAGATGATTACTTCCTTAGAATTTATCTTAACATTCTATCTAGAGGATTTTGTGATTGCTTTATAGCAGTCTAGACAACCTTCATAATTCCTTTGATTTCAACCTCAACATGGACCTACCTTACAGATGCTGATGTTTTGTACATAGATTAAAGACGAAACAAAAGCATAAGAAAAATAAAAGAATACCCTAAGATATGCTTGATGCCTCATTTACAAAACTATGCTCAAGTAACAAGCAAAACTCAGCAAGAGAAACAAACTTAAAAATTGCCCAGACTCACCCTCTAGGACTTTGTATACCCTCTAGGACCCATCAGAGTGTCTCAACTTGACAGGTACGACACTAACGGAAAGAAAAACATATTGGAGCTATCAATATTATTCAACAACAACGTAGACATTTGTGACGGGACAGCTGACATATACCATCAAATACCTTACTGTTGCGCTAAATGCCATTGACAATAATGGAGTGAACGATAGAAGCACATAGCACAACCAAAGGCAATATCAAATTCCAAGAACTTGAGTAGGTCTGTGTCTATCCAAAATAGTAGTACAAGAAGCATAGCAAGACCCCTGGAGCAGATCTACAAAAAACAAATAAGTCAAGAAAGGAACAAAGAAGGAGAAGCCCTGATTTAAGAGAAGCCAAGGTACATCCAGAATGCTAGATGCCTAGCCAAAAGCAGATTCCAAGTATGAAACAATGCTCAGAGCAGGAGTGTGTGGCTTGGCTCTCAATAGCTCTAATAAAACTCACATCACATGGAATATTTAATGTGAGCTGCAACAAGGCCATGATTGCCATTCTATCACAAACACATCATTAGAACATAAATGAATGAAGGAAAGGAATAGATATTTATGATTAAAAGAAATAGAAAGAAGAAAGATCTAGCTGGAGAAAGGTAGCTGCTACTACAGTTGAAGTCTTTCTGCAAATCTTATGATCTCTAAAGGAACAGAGATTACTATGGAACTTTTTTTAGCGTAACCTTTTTCTTTTGGGCTTGGGCCTAGCACATTGAGACACATGTACAGAAAATTTTGAGTAATAGAAAAGTTCAAGTCAACATTCAAGAAAGAAAACGAATATTCTGGAATTCTCTCAGGAAGAGCACAGTCTGGTGACACAATAACTGAACACAAATATAATTCAACAATTCATGTCAAAGGAGACAAAACTTAAAACCCATTAGCATGAAATAAATGAACTGTCTTTTTTCCCGGCGTGATGGTTGAGGAGGAACTATTGGGGATCATAATGGGAAACGTGTAGCTGCCTTCTCTGATCATTTTGGAGAAACTACAAATAATGCAGCTGAGTTACGAGCTTTGAACAGGGGAGCGCAAATGGTGCAACAAATTAACCTAGGAGCATTGAGATTGAAAGTGACTCTAAACTTGTGGTGAGCTCAATGCAGAATTTTGTGAGAGTTCCATGGAGATACCATATTTTACTTCACAATCGTATTTGGTGACTTTGAGATTGCTAGTGGAGTTTCAAACACATTTGTCATGAGGATAATCACGTCCCAGATTTATTGGCCAAAAGAGCTGCAATGGCCTCAACTACCACAGTTTGGTGAATAAGACCACCAAATTATTTCTCTTCTTTTTCCTTCAGATGTCGCGAATATTCACCATCAAAGGGATATCCCTTTGTACTTAATGTATTTTAGTTTTATATCAATGAAAATGGGTAGGGGACAGAATTTCTCTGTGATTTACACCAAAAAAAAAACAGATGGGTGATGACAACTTTTTTAATACATGGCTGTCTTTTCTTCATATATCAAACCATACATAGCATTTTGAAATCAAAATACCATACATATGGGGATCACAATTTTTACCTCCAACTCTCATTACATTCAATGAATATGGAGAGTTGCAATTATTTTACCCTTTTGGGTTACAATACAAATGCAAGCATTTAGTCCAATTGTTTCAGCATTTGTGAGTTTTCCATTTCTCATGCTCTCTCCCCTCAATTCCAAAAAAATCCTCCCACACCAAATCGGTAGTTGAATAATTCTAGAGACTATTTATTTTGAGGAATATTCTAGAGACTATTTATTCCAAAAAAAAAATATTAAAGAAGTTGCATTCAGCAACTAAAGACTTGTTTCATTCACAACACAAAGGGAAGTAAAAATGGCCTCTCGAAACATCCATTTCAGTGAATAACAGAGAATGCAAAAGCAACACCAATAAGGTACAGTAGCAATTATTGAATTCAGCTGTAAAACGAGAGGCCCATTGCCAATTAACTAGCTGCAGAGAAAAAAAAAAAAATCAAAGCCATAAATAAGAAAAACCATGAAGCCGACCTGCCCATGCAACAGCAAGCGAAGCAATGGAACTACCAACAGTGAAAACCACCCTATGCCTCTCAAAAACATCCTAAAACCCGGAAAATAAAACGGATGGTTATATATATCAAGCACTAAACATCAAAAAGTCAATGAGTAGGGAAAAACATGGAAGAGAGAGAGAAACCCTAACGATCAATACCTTGGTAGAGAGATAAGTGTCCTGCACTGAATACCAAGAATTAGAAGCTTTTTTCCTCAAGGTGGGCAGAGCCAAGGATCCCAGAATTGCCGTCCCTGATCTTCTGAGACGCTGCATATTGTCTGTAAATTACCACCTGTTCTTTCCCTCGCGTTCAAATGCATGCCTCCAAAAACCAGGTATTTTGAGAGCGCAGAAGGCGCTCTGTAGACTCCAGAGAGTCGTAAAACTCCATAAAAATTGTGAAAAGTTTTCGACTTTTAATGGCGGCAAGCGGGGAGAGTACGCGGCCGCGGACCAAACATAGACTTCGTCAAAAGAATCGTTTTGGTGAGTCCGCAGCTACGGTGCCGTCTCTTCTCGCATTCATTTTCACGAGATTTTTAATTTTCTATGTTAAATAAGGAAAATTTATTTTTGTACACCTAGATTTTCTAAAATGATGTATCTTCTAATACATTGGATCCAATTGATCATTTTTTACGCATGTGTTTTGCTCAAACAAAAACTAAAAAGTCAATTCTATATGTCTATTAAACCTCTCTCTATACCTTTATTTCTTTTCTCTCTATAACATCTCTATATACGACTCTCCCCATTCTCTCTATAGCATCTCTATATACGACTCTCCCCATGGAGCCGAGAGACACATTATAGAGAGAGAAATAAAGACATATAGAGAAAAATTTAGTAGACAGATATAAATGTCTTTTTAGTTTTTGTTTGGGTAAAATATGAGCAGTCAAAATGGGTAAATTAGTTCAAGGGATTAGAAAATATATTTTTAAAGAACCGCCAAAATGTTTTAAAAACCTTAGGTTCATAGGAAATGGTATGCGAAAACAGGATATACGGAGATATTTTCCTAATAATAATCTCAATTGCCATAGTTATGAATATCTTAAAAGGCTTGGTTTGTATAAGGTTGAAGCTCTAAACAACCTAAGTAAGGTGCACCTTTAAATAGTATCGAAATATATTGTTTCAGTATTAGAAATCTTTGACATGAAATCCATTTTTTCGCATGTCTATACATATTAAGGTTGAGATGAATGATTGAGGATTTTTGGACATCGAACAACCTCTTCTAGTGAAATTTTGAGGTGTGCCTTAGTTTTATTGTTTAGAGCCTTGCCCTTAGATAAATTTTTTCCTATCTTAAAATATAGGGATTGTATACAATGAGATCGTTTACCTTTGAGACAAGGAGGTCAGAATTGCTTACAACCATTCGATGTGAAATTTGATAGCTTAGGTGTGTCACAAAGTTTGAGAAAATTTCTTTTGAAGTTTGAGCTTAGTCAATAGAATAAATGCAGCCATCTAATTTGACATCCAATGGTCAAGATCAATTGTGATCACCTTATACTAAAAGTAAACGGTCTCGTTGTATACGTTTCTTAAAATATATGTTTTAAATATTAAAATAGTTGATTTTGAACTCTAGGACACGTGCCCCTCTCTAATCGGGTTCTAGATAGTTATGCCAATTGATATTCTACCCCCAAATTTGGGGGATGTAACGTCTTCAACCCATATATTAAGCTCAATGAAAAGATTTTTTAATTGTGCCCTCTATGCATATGAAAAAAATAATGTATTGAAATTGAATAAACTCCATCCCATTTTTAGATGACAAGATCTAATTGTTAGAAAACTCAAATGTTAATTTTTATTTTTATTTTCACATTGAAAAAATCTTTCCAAATAGGTCTTTTGGCCGAGGGAGTAGAAGTAAACTATACTCTTGAGGGAGCATAGTATAAATACTCAACAGCAGGATTTTAAGAGATAAAAAGGGAGACATGAGGAACACAAAAGGGTTTTGTTACAGTACACGACTTTGCGGTGTAGACTCTTCAAGTCCACGACATTTTTTTACTAAAAAATAGTCAAATTAAATACATTTAAATAAGATTGATTTACGTAAGGCCCCTAAAAAAGTTAGAAAAATACGAGATGCTTTGTTTATACCCGTACATCACAAAGAAGGTCCGTCAACGCGTGGTTTTTTTATTTTTTAAAAAATGCCCCTCTGTCTGAGGGTAGCATTCTCATATTGAATTTGAATTATTATTCTTTTTAGTTTTTTCTTTAGCAATGCAGTGCTTAGGCAATCCGACGTTAGACTCTTCATACCAATCTTTCACTTTTTTAAAAAAAAACTTCAGTTTTAGGAGGGTTCGAAGTCCCCATCTTCGGATTGCTCTTTATTTATTGAAAAAATAGCTGCTCGAGAATGAGAACCTCATTCTCAGACCGCTCCTTCTCTCCATCGTCATTGCAAGGAGGAAACACACGCTTTGATAAAGATTGTAACACTACCTGCAGACATGCAATGGATGAAATACCTTTCATATTTCTAGGGAAACTTTTCATTTACCATGGAACAATGTAATGATTTAAAATTGAAAATATGCCTGCCTAACACTTGGCACCTAGAAAACCACATGGGTAATTATATTTATTTCACCTATTGTACTTTTCGAGTGTTTTGGTGATGGTAGGTGTAACAATCCTAAAATTTCAAAAAAAAAAAAAAGGGGGAGAAATGATGCTTTTAATAGGTGATGGTCTGATTGAGTATGATGGTCCTTGGGGACCATCACTATTTTCAAAACTTTTACTTTGGTTTAACTTTTGCTTTGCCTGCTTTTGCCTCCTGCTGCTTGCAGCTGGCAACGTCCTTTAGCGGACGTGGTTTTCGTACGATAAAAGCAGACTTTTAACGCGACACCTCAAG